AGGCTTCTCCATGCTGTGACAATTCCTCAACTTTCCTTGTTTCCCATGACCTTAACAGTTTTGAGGCAAAATTGTCAGGTTTTACAGACCGTGCTTCAATTTGAGTTTATCTTATGTATTTCTCATGGTTACAGTGGTGTCACAGAATCTGGAGAGAAAGAGAGCAGTGTGTAATATCAAGGGTACACGTTACCAATGTGATTTATCATGACATTAACCTTGGCTGTTTGTCTAAAGTTGTGCTTGTCAGCTTTCTTCCACACTAAAGTCATTTTTCTACACTCCCCTCCTTTTTGTACTGTATTCCTTGGAAGTAAGCTACTAAATGTACCTCATACTAAAAGATTTGAGGGTTATGATCCCCCTCCTGCAAGGAACATCATCTATATAAATTATTTGGACTTCATCTGAGTGGGAGGTTGGCCTTATTTATTTACTTATTTATTCCACGACTTTTATTTATTTATTTATTGTTCAGAGGGTTTTGCACATAGTTTAGGCTGGCCTTGAACATAGTATGACCAGGCTGGCCTCAAACTCAGAGCAATCCTCCTCCCTCAGTCTCCTGAGTGCTGCGATTACAGGTGTGCACCAGTGGCTAAGCCTTCAGTCATTTATTTATATCAGTGTGGACTCGTAGACACTTACTTTATACTTTGTATTATAATCTAATAGTACACCGCTTAATTTGTTGCTCAATTTTTTTTCCAGTTTTGACTAGTGGGATCTCTTTCAATTAAATTTTATAATTTTATCCATGAAGGGCTCACATGATTTTGATAGATTTATTTTGGGATTGTAAGTGAAGTCTTCACTGACACCAGAATTTAAAAACAGAACTAGCACAAGATCTAGTAAATTATCTGGGTACACATCCAGAGGAAAAGAAGTCAGTACGTCAAAGAGACATCTGTACTCCCATGTCTATGCAGCACTAGCTCCAGTAGGAAGGTAGGGAATCACTCAAAGTGTCCATCAACAGATGAACCCCATGTTGTTTTTTTTTTATTACTTGTTATGGTCTTTGATTGTTTGATCAATCTTACATTCTTACGTTCAGTGGACCGAGCAACTTCGCTGAAGATAACAGTATGTAATGTAGCAACCATTGTTAATGCCTATCATTCTGTTTTGAGTTTACGCATCATTTTTGTTGTTTTTGTGTAGTTTTGACTTTGTCTTCATTGTTGTTTTGTTAATTTAATTTAAAAAAAAACAGATGAACAAAGAAAGTATGGTGTGTATGCATGTGTGCACGCACACGCGCGCACATACACAAACACACAGGAATTCACCCTTAAAAAGAGAAAAATTGTGTCATTTGCAACAACATGAACAAGCCTGGAGAACACTACGCTAATTGAAATAAGCCAGGCACCAAAAGACAAGTACTACACAATCTCACTCATATATGGAACTGAGAAACTCCTTGAAGCAGTGTAGAATGGTGGTTAGCACAGCCAGGGGGGTTGGGGGCAGGAACGTATTGGTGAAAAAAATATAAGTTTCAGTCAGATGGGGGGAATACGTTCTGCAGCTTTATCGTACAGCATGGGGTGAGTTAATAACAATGTGCTGTATCCTTGAAAACTGCTAAGAAAATAGATCTGACATATTCTCGTCACAAGGAAAGGGTTTGTATGAGAGCTGATGGACAGGTTACTCAGATTTCGTCACTGCACAACATACACATAAACTAAAATACGACACGGCATGCCAAAAGTATATACAATTTTGTCAGTTAAACCTAAATAAGGTCAAGAAATAATTATGGCCTCTGCCTTCCCATCTGTTTTGTCTGAAACGAATATTCAATATCTACTTTCGGATGGCGTTTGCCTGGTAGGTATTTTCCATTTTTGAAGGTTCCAACTGTCCCACGTCCTCAAGCTGAGGAGGGCATGCTTCTCCTCAGCTCACCCCAGGCAAAGTGAACGCCCTGTGAATGCCTTTGCCAGGAGGTCATAACTCACCAAACCTACCCTAGCCACAGTACCTCCCTCCAAGTCCTTTCTGGCTGCCCACGCCTTCTATCTCAGCAAATGCCCTTCAGCTCTAAGCCTCACCCTTAGTCTTCACCTTCCCTCTGTCTTTACAGCTTCAAACACTAAAGCCTGTCAAGCGGGCCTTCTGAAGACGTCTACATCTGTGCATTGTGTCCATTCCCACTGCCATATTCAAAGCCCAGCCCTTCCTCCCCCTCCCTGCCGTACTGTAATGGCTTCCTCCCTGCTTCCTGGGCGTCCCTTTTCTTCCTGACACAGCCCCCTTTCCAACCATGGCTGGAGGCACTTTTCTATAGCACAAATCTGATCATGTTCCTGGTCTAAGTAAAGGGTCCCCACAGCTCTCTCAGGTATTCTGTGCTGTGGCTTCCCAGGTCTCCTTTGGTCTGGCCCCTCCTCCCATGAGTGGGGCCTTTCTCTCCTTGATCTCTTTGTCCAGCAATATGGAGCTTTTCATTCCTTCTGTTTCTAGGAGGCACCAGCCTTTTACTGTAACAACAGCTTCCCTCCTTCCTTCCTTCCTTTCTGGCTGGCTCCCTCGCTTTGTTTTTCTTGGGTGGCTCCTTCTTACTCTTTCTTTCCTTCTTGCTTTTTTTTTATTTATTGAGGTCTTTTTTGTTTTGTTTTTTTTATTGTCTTGTTTGTGCCTTTTTTTAAAAAAAAAAAAAGTTAAAGCTGTAGGCCCTAATGTGACTATTTTTGGAGACTTGCAGACAGTCCTTCATTTACAAAGGCAATTAAATGAGATCAGAATTGGGGGGCCCTGACCCAGTATGACTGGTATCCTTACAAAAACATCTACTGAGAGATGACCATGTGAACAAACTAAGGACAGGGGCCCCAGGTGAAATCAACCCTGACAATACTTTATCCTTGAGGTTCTAGCTTCCACAACAGTGATAACATACTTTCCTGATGCTTAAGCTTCCCAACCTGTGGTGCTTGGCTATGGCTGTCCTAGTGACTAATACAGCTCCCTGAACTGGGCTAGGTTCTCCTGCACTTTCCAAGTCTTTCTTTGCATCTCCTATCACTTTGAAATTACCTAGCATCTGTTTTTCCCTCTGAACTATAGATATTCTTTTACCATACTGCCTAGAAATACCACTGTAAGAACCCAAGAAATGAGTGTACAGAATTCACATACACGGGGCTATATAAATTTAAATTGGTAAAAAAAGAAATAAAATTAGAAATTCATTTCTACAGTCGCACTAGCCACATTTCAAATGGTCAGCAGCCACATGTGTCCAGTGAACAATGCAGATTACAGTGACTAGTGCAGTTTACAGAACAATGCAGTTTATTTCTAGCATTACAGAAAGTTCTAGTGGACAAGGCTGGTATAAATGATACCTGAGTGAACCCAAAGTCTGCATAAAAGACCTGTAAAGAAGAAGGGGCGGCAGAGGGGATAACAAAGACCAAGTGCAGAGGATGAAACAGCAAGTACATATGGGAAACCACAGCAGCTCGCTGCTGTTCAAGTGTCAGGAGGGCGCGAGGTGAGCGAGGTGAGCGAGATGAGGGCAGAGTCATGTGGGGACTCAAGAGAGCTTGGCATTTATTATGACTGAGAAGGAATCCAAGCAGAGAAGTGTCTGGGTCAGACCTGCATTTTAGATATTTTACTCAGTGGGGAGTACAAGCCTGGTGGCAAAAACAACAATTAAGGGCTGTTGAAATTCTGTTGAGAGGAACCAGAACAAAGGGAGGGTTGGAGAGGATGCAGCTGGGCAGAGGCCAAACTTGAAGTTGATTGGATGCAGGGTGGAGAGGTGGGAGGGGTTAGGGAAGGATGGTAGAGCTGTGGATGGTGGTGCCACCCACTGAGACCAGAAGGGGGAGGCAGGAGAGGCAGGCTTCTTTTGCAAGGGGAGGCCAGACAGGGGAAAATGGTGATGACTCAATTTTGGACACATGCAGCTTGAGGTATTTGTAGGGGTCAGTGGAGATGCAGTTGGCTGTAGAGACTGAGGTTCTGAAAAGAAGCCTGGTTTGCAATTCAGACGGGGAAGCAACTAGCCAACAGGTGGTGGCCATGTGCTCGCTTCAGCAGCACCTATGCTAAAATCTGGAACAATGCAGAACAGACTGGCATGGCCCCTGCACGAACAGGTGGTGGAAAATCACATGAAGAGCCAGGTGACCTGTGGGCCATGGCCAGAACTCATAGACGTCTTTCAGGGATGAGCAGAAGAGAGACTCATGAGGAACAAAAGCACATACCAGCATGTCAGCATGTTTCACTGTGAGGTTTACCCAAGCTATTTTTAAAATTCTTTGCACCTATACAGTGTGCTGGATGCAGCATTTTAATATATTTCTATTTGCTATGTAAGACTTATCGGCTTGCTGGATTCCACTTTGGACAAGGTCTTTGATGTCTGAACAGGGTCTGACTGGTTTGGAATCTCTTGAAGGTGATGTGTGGGATCAGAGTACATTTTCTGTCCCACCTGTCTGGGGTAGGGATGCATCTTCTTGTGGAGAGAGATTCAGAAAGACAGAGAAAGAGACGATAATAATCATAAGCCATCCATGTAATTTAACAGACCTTGAGGGAAAACCATTTGATTTTGCCTGTACAGTATAAAAACAGAAATGACCCTACCCTGAAACCGGAGGGATCCCAGACTGATCAGTGTTAATTGTTGATTTACCTCCCTAAGAGGCAACAGATAGGCCCATTGGCCATGGGGAACAGCTGCTCCTTTTGAGTGGAAAGGGGATGAAATACGGAGGGGAGCTGTCAGCCTGAATACCAATCAGAATGTGAACAGCTTCTAGCATGTCAATTAACAGCCAAAAGATACTGCCCTGAGGGTACAACTTATTTCTCAATATCCTTTTTTAAAAAAAATTTCAATTACATTTTTTCTTAAGAGTCATAAAACTGTCAAACAACACAGGAACTAACTTTATCATTTGTCTTTAGCCACTCCCATCTCTCCAAAACAGAATTCAATTTGTTTATGGTTTACTGGTACTTACTGATTTCATCCACATTTTTAAGAAATTTCTGAAAGTCTTTCTCTTCATCATCAGCCATGGTGGGCCAAATTCCTAAGGGAGGCAGCATAAATGATGAGATTAATAATAAAACACTAAACAGAACTGTCAGGCTTATTAACCTTCTACGACTAAGAGCCAGGTGATTATTTTAAAGACAGACTTGTGTTCATAAATATCATGAATAACAGCAAGGAGATCCATTTTACTCTGCTGCTGCTTAAGGCCAAGGGACACACATTATTTGCGGAGATTCTTCCAGAGAGCTGCTAGCCCTGCCTCCACTGGTCCAACTGCTCTGCAAAGAAATTCCTCCAAAGCCAACATGAACCACTGTGATTGAGAGACTGCCATGAAGGAGAACAGCAGAGCAACAGACAGGTGGCCAGAGATAAAGGGGGTGCTGGTGCCTGACTTTGGTCCTGAGGCTTGGACTTGGCAGTGTAACAGGTAATCAGAGATGGGGCAATTTGCATCTAAATGTCTCCACTTGATTAAAATATACGCCTCTGGTTTGTTTCTGAAGAGAAGCTGCATACGGCTGGAAGGACTAGAACTTGATGCCAGCGTTTACCTGGTATTTTGGATTTATCACCTCACAGTGGTTTGAGTGGGAGGCTGCATGGTGTGCTCAGTGGTATCCAACGGTTCATCCACACACCAGAAAGATCATCCAGAAAGCTTGTACAACAGTTTCCTCGAATCAGCCCCACAGACTCTCAGTAAGGCTGGGAGAAGACCCACAGTGTATATTTTAATCACACTCCAGGTGATTCTGATTCACGTGTAGGTATGGTGGTGTACTCACGTAACACACCTGTAACTTCGAATTTTTTTTTTTTTTTTTTTTTTTTGTGGTTTTTCTCCGGTACCGGGAACCGAACTCACGACCTTGCGCTTGCCAGGCAGGCGCTTTTGCCGCTGAGCTAAATCCCCAGCCCCTCGAATTATAAACCTGCCCTGAGCAAGCTGTGAGTTGCTTGCTCTGAGCCTCTGTGTCCTTATCTCCACCAATTACAAACTGTGTGACACCGGCTAAAGTCACAGCTCATCTGAACCTCCCAGCCTCACCTGTGCTATGGAAACCGTAACACAAACTTGGAGAACAATTTAGGGGTGAATATAGCACCAGGCACGAAATGGAAATGAGTAATGCGTGAGGCGCCTTATCTATAAAACGGAATGCGCGAGATCGCTATGGGGTTTTTTTGCAGCTGAAACAGTTAGTCCAGGGCCACCTGCCGCGAGATGCGGATGCCAGGGCAGGGCGGTCGTCAGGGCGCTGAGAGCTCTATTGTGTGGGGGTCGAGACCGCGGCGATCCGCACAACCTGCTGCGCCCTGAGCAGCCGCGCGCACTCAGCGGGTGGGCGGGGAAGCCGCACCGTTGCCCAGCAACCGCTCCCCAGCGTCGGTCCACCAGTGTCCGTCGTGGACGTCCCAGCCCGCAGCTAGTACTGTACCGTACCATCCGCGGGGACCCAAACCAGCAGCCTGTGCTCGGATCTGAGCGCTAGTCCACGACCAAGTCCCAAGGGGAAACCCCGGCGCCACTCCACCGCACTAACCCGACGCGCCTGGGCTGGACCGGAAGTGGCCGCTGTGAGCGGACTGTGAGTGGCCCCGGCTGGGGGCGGGGCCTCAGCCCGGGGCGGGGCCTCTTTCTGCAGCGCGCCGAGTTCCGACCCATGTCCGGGCAGAAAGGCGGAAGACACGAATCACTGGTTATCGCTGAAGTAACACCAGGTTATCGCCTCTTTTTTCTTCTAAGAGGGGAGGGTTTCACTGCCCATGATTTAATATCCTTGGCCCACAGGGTCAAAGTCTTAATAGTACACGAGAGAGACAGTCGTGGATGCGAATCCAGTTTTATTTATTGATAAATATTGCATAACATTTATCAGACAGTTGCATAACCTCTTTGATTCCGTTTTCTCAAGTATAAAATGGAGAAATGGCACTTTTTCATAAGGTTTATGATGAAAGTGCCTGGAGCCTAGGAATAAGTGGTAGTGAGTATCAAGGGAATCTTAGCAAAATTTAGGGCCGAATGAGTTAAAGGGCACATACCTTCACACTCTGAATTGATGCATACACCCTTAGAAATTCCAGTCTGTTTTTATAAACAAAAGTTCAGCATATAATGCATTAGTTAACTGAAGGAGAAAAGCAGGTTTGGGGAAAATTTAAGATGAAGGTGATGATCAGAATCGCTTGGGACTTCCTGTCAAACTTGTAGGTACTTTATGGAAACCTCTTCGATGGGGACTGAGAAACCCCTGGGGATAGAGCTTACCAGAGGACAGTGGGGTCCAGGCATGGCCAGCTAGATTCAACACTGATTCCCAGGCTGACTTGTGGCCTAGTTCTCAAGCATACCTGAGCCCTGCGGAGGATGAATGCATACCTGTGCCTTGTGGAGGACAGGTTTGTTTGAATTCTCCATGAAGACAGGTACACATGCAGTGCAGCCTTAGTATCTGCACTGGAGTGTAGCACAAAAGGCCAGAGGTATTCTCCAGTTGACAGCACAGTGAGTGCAGGATCAGCAGAGTGAGATCTCCAGCTCGTAGTCTGCAGCCACAGGTGGTGGGACTGGGGGACCAGCAGGACACAGTCAGTGGCTGGCCCAAGGGACTGAGGTGTCTCATGAGAAGTAGCAGGAAGTTGAGGCCCCTGGGCAGAGCAAGGGTTTTAGTAAGCACTGGTTAGACACGTTGTGGGGAGTCCCAGAAAGACATAGAATACCTTGCAGTGAATTCAGAGCATGAACTGGTGGCATTTTGGTTGTTTCTATTGGTGTCATGCCATTTTCCTCTCAGGCTTGTCAGGTCTTGAGTATACGAAGGCAGCCTCTCCAATCTGAGGATGTTTTTCATTATTTTGGGGCTGACAGTTCCAAATCACTTCCTAAGTTTTCATCAGACTTTTTTTACCTAGGGTCTGGAGAGACTTGCCTCCATGACTCCGCCACTCATTCACTTACACAATCACTCATCATACGTAAAAGGTCTACGTGAAATGTGTGCCAAGTCCACGGAAGACTAGTAGGATGAGCTTGAGAAACACTTATCACACACCACCTTGTGCTTGCTAAAAACTGGAGGATTTGAAGAAGTGAATACATATTAAGGGACAATGATCAATGTAGCCAACATGTACACATGGGTAACTCACAAGCATTTTCAAGTGAATCTGACAAATTTGGACTCCTCTTTTCTCCAAACCTGGTCCTCCTCCAGTCTTCTCCATCTAAGCCAATGGAGAGGCGCAGGTTCCTTGGGTCTAATGATTAGGTACCATGCAACCCACTACTTCTGGGGCTTTTAATAAAACATCGGCACTTTGTTACTCAGGGTGCCCAGATCAGAGTGTTGCTGCAGAATCTCAGCCCAGGACTGGGGCTGGAGCCATTTAGCCTGTGTTCAAATCTCAGCTCTTGTTGGGTGTGGTGGTGCACGCCTGTAATCCCAGCACGTGGGAGGCTGAGGCAGGAGGATCATTGCAAGTTTGAGACCAGCCTGGGCAACAAAGTGAGCTCAAGGCCAGCCTGAACTGCACACCTAGACCCTGTCTCAAAAAGACAAAAACAAACAAAAAAAAAACCCAAATCTCAGCTCTCTAATTATTAGCATTTATTAAAATGTCATTAAGCACCTACTATGCACCTTCTAATATGCCAGGTACTACAGATCTTTTTTACACCTGACTACCATTCATACTAGTTCTACTGCTACTGCTAGGTGTGTGACCCGAACAAGCTACTTAATCTCTCTGTGCCTCAGCTACCTCATCTGTAAAATAGGATTGTTAAAAAGACATCTACCCCACAGGGTTGCTGTGAGAGGTACAAGAATTAATACAGGTTAATGCGCTCCCAATGATGCCTGGAGCATTATCAACATCCTGTAAATGTTACTATTGTAATTACTACTGTGGTTAGTATGCAATAGAGCAGTGTCCCTGACCCTTGACTGTGCATAGGAATTGCCTGGGGATCTTAAATGCAGATGCTGGGTCAGCAGTTCTGGGCCTGGGATTTTGCAGATGTAGTGGGTTGCGTGGTACCTAATCATCAGACCCAAGGAACCTGCGGCTCTCCATTGGCTGAGATGAGGAAGACTAGAGGAGAGCCAGGTTTGGAGAAAGGATGTCATATTCAGTTTAAGTGCTTATGAGTACACGTTGGCTACATTGATTATGGTCCCTTCATATGTATTCTCTTCTTTGTTACACCCTCCAGTTTTTAGCAGGCACAAGGTGCCTAGAATAGAGTGCCTAGAATAGAGCCTACCTTTCCTTACAGATGATTAAGTTTTGGCCATTTAGACATAAGCAGAAGCATTGGTACCACTTGTGGGAATTATCCTAGAAAAGGATTCTCTTTTTCTTGTCTTTCTTTTTTCTTGCTAGTTGGAGTGTGGATACAATGGTGAGGGCTGCATCAGCCAAGCTGGACTATGAGGCAGAAGCAGTTTGTTTAGGATGGAAAACTACAAGCTAGGATGACCATGACATTGCCATACCAGACTTGGACTACCCAACCCCATATCTTTATAGGTGAGAGGCATTTTAATCCCAACAATATTTCAGGACTGTAAACACTTTTTTCTTTAAGTCACCCCTGTGTTGAGTTTTTGGTCACTCCCAGCCATGTTTAACGTTAACTGATGTGGAAGGCACTCTTCATTCATTCAGCTAATGTTCCCTTAGTGTGTCTACCCTTACTTTTATCTTAAGTCTAATTGGTCTCAATGTTGTGATATTGGCATAATAAAAGTACTAATATTTCAAAATAAAGCACACATTGATTTATAAATGTATATTATCCAGTGGACTCTAAACAACAGAATAATCTGACACTCAACCCATACAATTAAGATTCTAATGAATAATTTTTTCTTTATAGTTAGAAGTTGTATTCTTTCTTTTCCTTGAAGTCCTGTTTCCATTTCATTCCTTCCCTCTCAGAGCACTATCCTCATGTAGGATATTGTTATGCTCAAATGTCTTTGATCATCTCATCATACTTTTCTGCCACAGAAATATCCACATTGTTGGAGTGTTTGCTTTGACCAGATCCATGGTGATCTCATAGTCCACTGAGGAAGACAGATGCACAAATAAGTGATCATAGAAAAGTGTGATAAAGGCAGACATGGTCCAATGCCCAAAGAAGAGGAAGGAGGAGGCAGTGTTATGCTGCAGTAATAAATAAGCTCACAGTCTTCATGGATTATAACAAAAAAGTTCCATTGCTCACTTGTGCTACATACCCATGAACATATTTTCACAATGATGTGGAGACAGAGGGAGTGGGAGGGTTCCAGGCTGAGGGGAATTTAGAGGCGGAAAACTTGTGGTGTGTGGAAAACAGAAAAGCTCAAGGCAAGAGTGCTGAGAGCTGAGCCTAGAGATTAGGTGGGGGTATCAAGGAAGGCAGCCTTAGGCAGAGCGTGAAGCAAGGAAAGGCTGAGGCAAGAACCAAGGTAAGAGGTGAGGAGTTACCTGGGCGGCAGTCACACCCAAGGAGCAGCGAGGGTGTGTGGCTCTGGATTGGGCTGGAATGAAAATACTCAGCAGTCTCTGATTGCTGGGCTGGTGGCTGCTTTGGGATTCCTTCCGTCTGATGACTCCCACCAGGATCTCTGATGGGCCTAGACTTCACATCAAGCCTCAACCCTAAGACCCAACAGAATAAGTAGCCTAAACCAACAGGATAACCCAACAGAATAACTGACTGTTCTTTCTTGGGAGTAGGGATTTTGCTTTATTTTGTCTTTATATTTCCAAACCTGGCACTCAGTTGAAGCTAAATAAAGATATGTTGACTAAATGAGCTAATCTCTTGCTGTGCTTGGAAGGCTAATACATGTTATTATAGATAGAAAAGCAATGAGAGTGTTTAGGGGTTTTGTTTTGATTTTTTGTCTCAGGCCTCCCAGGGTGGTTCCTCCTGGAGGACAGGCACTGTTACAGTCACAACGTACTTTGAGGTATACATTTTTCACTTGGCAGATTGACCACTTAAAGATGTCAGAAGTCCTAATAACCCTGGGCAGTCACTGAGCTATTTATAAAGATTTCAACTGTCCTTCTTCCCAGGGTCTCAGTTCTCTGTGGCCCGGTGACTTGCTTTGACCAATGCAGTGTGCAAAGAAGTAAAGTGGGCAGAAACCTTTAAGAGTGAGCATATGCAGGGGATGCAGATTTAGCTCAGTGGCAAAGCACCTGCCTGGCAAGCACAAGGTCGTGAGTTCGGTTCCTGGTACAGGAGAAAAACCAAAAAAAAAAAAAAAAAGAGTGAGCATATGCGTCCCCTCCCTCAACCCAGCAGCAAGATGGTGGAGGCCCCCTTGAGGGAGGATACGCAGAACAGAGACGCCTGTTTGCTTCTGATGGGATGTAGAACGAGTGAGCAGCGGTTTGCTACAGCAGCAGAACATGGCCCACCATGTCTAATACAGCCGCTCAGTCCACATGTTCTTCACATACTACATGGTAAAATCCAGAGACTTTGTGCATGAGTCTGTGTAGATTATGATCATTGTAACTTACATTTTAAAGGTCAATGTCATGTGTTTTCTTATGTATTCAAAAAATGAAGGGGAACGGAACTTTTAAAGCATTGGTTACTTGTATTTCAATTATATTTCTCCTGTATTTTCACAATTTCCACATGAAAAGTTTTATTTTTTTTATGTCTTCAGTAAAAATTGGAGAACATTTGATTACCTTCCAATGTGTAGTAAATCAGAGACTTGAAGGTTATTATAAGCTATCTCTCCTCTCTTTTACTCTTGTCTCTCTTTTCTGTAAACAATTTTAGCTCTCTGCTTTTTCCCATCAGTCATAATTTATAAACTTAGAGTAGACTTGAAAAAATTTCCCAAGGATAGCTGCACAAGGGATAAGGCGACCCTACCTTTGCCTGCTGAGAGTGAAAGGCATAGACAAGGCCTAGGAGTTTTGTTAGAGCTGCAGTTCCTTGCATGTAAGTTGGATCTTAGGATCTAGAATGAGAAGAAACCAGACAAGCTTAGTCACTTCATCCCTCCCTACAAAGAACCCAAAGTTACATTAGATTTTCCCCCAAACATACAACCTTTCATTAAAAACAAACAGTAGCTGAAATGCTTGCTTCTTGTCTTAGTTTTTCAGATCCTCCCTTGTGAGAGATGAAGGAATCATTTTACAACCCAGTTACTGACCAATCTAATCTGTGTCCCTCTGTGCTGAGAGTCTTCCCTGGGATTTCTGTGACTCCTTAGTGACACCACAATTATCCGCAACAGCCACACAGCAGCCGTGATAAGAAGGAAAGCTTGCTGAGCTGCTACACTCCAGGCATCATGCTCGATCCTGGACATGCATTATTTTATCCAAATATCTTTGAGCCCTACAAGGTCCTATTCCCATTTTACAGACAAGGACATGCAACCAGAGAGGCCAAGAGACTTGTCAGAGGTTGAGCAGAGTTGTGAATTCCAGTCTGTGTCCCTGAAATTCCTGCTGTCCGCCTTCCCCACACCACCAGGGCCCTGCCTCTTGTGGCCATCCTTCCTGTGAGAGCCTGTTTCAGACCCCTGCAGTCATGGCCATCCTGGGTGCCTCTGCCCTACCTTGGCCTTGTGAATATATAAACCTTGTACATACTGTGCCCTGTGCTTCACAGGCTGCCCCAACCAGCCCAAATGGTTGTTTTTAATCTTTCTTATAGCCAGAGGCATGAGTCCCCCACTCTGTTAAGAAAGCAGGGTGACGCCAACAATGTCTTTCTTTGGAGACTGTTCTGTGCATCCCGAGATTTTTTGCCTGAAAAGGAAAGGGAAGTTGTATCTTCAACGCCAGGTAGACAGTGTCTCCCACTCTGCCTACTGTGGAGCAGTACTGCCACCGTGTGGACTGAATGACTACACCTGGCCAACTGCAGAGGTGGGGAAAGGCTAGGGAATGTGCCTGCTCAGCTGTTCTTGCATTTTTCTTGTGTTTACTTAATGTTTATTGAGCACCTATTGTAGGTCATGCTCTGGGCAAGGCCCCTTGTATAACTGACATTGCTGCTGAGATTGATTCTCTGGACAGTGCATTAAAATGTTAACAATTTAGGCTCTAGAGATGTTTAACACTGATTTGTCATTTGTCTGGGGTGCTTGGTCACTCATCTAGGGGTGATTCATACCACTCAGAAATTATAAAGACACATTAGCTTTGTGCAGTGGGATTTTCTTTGCTTCCAAGATTTGGGGGACAATAGGCCCATAGAGATTTAAAAAACTCCAGGTTTACATACTGTCCTGATAGAGGGTCTACCTCAATTACTATGAAAGGCTGGAGAGTTGTATTTTTAATGAACACATTTTCTTTTATATCAATAGTTTAATACTCTGTTAAAAGCATATTGTAGAAATTTAGAAAATGAAGAGAAACATAAAATCATTCATGATCACCCTACCCACACACACCATTACTAATATTTCAATGCGTTTACTTTTCATCCTTTTTTCTGCATATTTTTGCAGTGGTACAACCACGTTTACATATGATTTTATGTCTTACTTCATTGGTGTAGCTTCATAGCATCATAAAGGCGACTGACACATTCTAGGCATCCCTGATGTCCTAGGCCCTTCACTAGGGGCTTTAAATATATCTCACGATGCCATATACCAATCTCAGGAGAGGGTATTATTATCTTTCTTTTAGCAGACAAGATATTCGAGACCCGGAGGGGATACCTATGTATCTTGACTCTCCTAAGTCTGTTACATGTAATCACATTGTTTCTATTACAATTATTTAATATTTGCATGGTGTTCCACTTATTCATTTATTCTGTCATGTGGCTGCTTTTTATCATTTTAGATCTTTAATTTCTTTTTTTTTTTTTTTTTTGAGACAAGGTCTCGCTATGCATTTCCGGCTGGCTTTGAGCTCACTTTGTAGCCCAGGCTGGTCTCGAACTCGCAAGGATCCTCCTGCTTCAATCTCCCAGGTGCTGGGATTACAGGCGTGTGCCACCATGCCCGGCTTTTAATTTCTTTTAACATTGTACTCATGTAGAATTTGCTGCAATGAGCATCTCTACATATAATTTTTTATGTAACTAGGATTTTAAAGTGGCTTTCCAAAAGTGGGTTTCTCAAGCAACACTTTGAACTTTTATGGTTAACATTCTCACATAGCTTCTCAATGCATTTGTAAAAATTTGCACAAATTACTTTTATAACTGGCAGTATGTGAGAGAGCCAGTTTCACAGTATCCTCACCACTACTGAGTCTTAACATTTTCACCCATGATAAATGGATTAGTTTGCATATCTTTCAATATTAGAGAGGCTGAAACCTCTTCTGCTTCTCCCCGCTGCCTCCTTGCCCAGCCAGGTGCTTTCCAGTTCTTTCTAGACCCGTAGCAGAGAGCAGCCTGTTGTCTTGGGTGGCTCTTCTGTCTTCATATTGCCTTTCCTTTTGTACAGCCCTAGAATATATCTGTCATCTGGGACCATTTAAACCTGCGATTATTAATTTAGGGGCTCAGGTCAATAGATAAAACTAATGGCACTCGTCAGTTTAATTGGGAGAAATTATATTTTATTTTTACAAACAAGTCACTGAAATTTAGCATTTGTGTTCATTGTTAATGTGGGCAAAAACCCTCCGTGGCATTAACAGCCATAACACCACACACAGCAACGCTTTGCCATCATGGTAGTTATCATAGCGAACTTGTTTTGATGTGCTAATAACAAGCACAGGTGTCGCCATATTACACATTTGAGTTTCTAATTCTTTAATAATTGCGTATCAATGCATGTTTTCCTTTTTAATCCCATGTATTTTATTTTTTATAAAAATGTTAATTTAAAAATAATTTCTATGAGAGGAGACCCATAGACCTCACTTGTCATAACAGGAGGAAAGTTAAAATCTCCTTTCTTCCCATTACAAAAGAATTCCAAGTACAGTGTAGATATTACCCCTTCCAGGAAGTAATGTTCAATTCTTTTTCCCTTAGATGTTCATAGTAACTTTACAGTGAAGACACCTGGTAGACAGCACCTCTGCAAGTGACCAAGGTCAACATCACCGGAAGTAAGTGATGATGATATCATGTCTTCCTGATATGATGCCTTGGGATGAGCACGTCATCACTGGGTCATTCTTCCCCTATAACCCAGTCCAACCATGAGGAGCTATTAGACAAACACAAATCCAGGCACATTCTCCAAAACTCTAAGCAGTATCTTCAAAAGTGCCAAGGTGATGAAAACACGAAGACTGAGAAACTGCCACAGACTGAAGAAGACCTAAGTACTAACAATATGCTCCCATGGATTCAATCCTGGCACCAAAAGACATGGAGAGAAAAACTGGTGAAACGTCCATAAGGTTTGTTTGGTTATGAATATTGTAGAAATGTAGCTTTTAAGTTTTGATAAGCCCTTTCTGGTTATATAAGATGCTAAGGTGAGAAAACCTGAAAGGGCATACAGGAGCTCTGTTCTACCACTGAAACTCTTCTGTAAATTTAATATGATTTAAAATGTAAATTTCACACTATTCAGGGAAATAACATCCCAAACATCCTGTCCAAGCCAGTCTCTCCTCCTGATTTCTAGCTCATTCATACATGCATGGATCCATTCAACGAATATACTGAGCACTACTTGGTGGTAGGAAGTAGAGGGACACGGTATGAAGACACTGATGAGAGGGCATGAAGACACCAACCTCCAGGAGCTTGCAGCCTTCTGTGCAGACCTTAAGAACTTCAGGTGTGATGCAATGGCACGTATGCTTCGGTGGAGATTTGCACGGTACACAAAAAGTGTAAGAGAGGGAAAAGAAGTAGGAATTTGCCTGGCAAGCAAAGCATTATGGGTGGAGTGGAGGTGAAAGAAGAGGATTCTGGGAAATGTAGTTCCTAGTGAACCACCTTGACAACACATTTCCATGGCACCATCTCCTGACTACCCAATCTAAAGAAGCCACATGGTCATACTGTATCACATCTCTTTATTTAATTCTCTGTGGAGCTGCTGTGTTCTAAGTTGCTTGTTGTGGCATCCCCACAAAGAAATCAGGTAGGGAGGGCATGGTTCATGTCTCCTTTGGTGCCCACTCTAACTCCAGTTCTCAGAACAGTGTCTGAATTCAGGCTACTATAACAAAAGTGATTTTATATAACTGGGTGGCTTATGTGAACAACAAAAATCTACTTGTTACAGTCCTGGAGGCTGGAAGCCCTCAATCAAGCCCTGATCAAGGATGTCAGGTGGGGATTTGCTTCCTGGTTCATAGATGGCCACCTTCTCATTGTATCCTCACATGGTGGAAGGGCTGAAGGAGCTCTCCAGGGTTTCTTTAATAAAAAAACTAAAAGGGCTGCAGTCTCATGACAGAATCACCTCCCAAAGGCTTCACTTCCTAATCCATCTTGGTAGAGGTTAGGATTTCAACCAGTGAATTTTAGGAAGATAAAAACAGCATGAATGTATGCACTCCATCTCCTTGACTTTGACAATTCTCTATTTTTGGACCAGGTACTTATAATACCCTACTGTCACATGCTAATTTACTTTATTAAAAGGGAATTAATAGTGTTGCTTTGGTTTTAAGGGGAAAACTCTCACTCAAACTAACTTCAGTAAAGGAAAATATGATATATTGATTCATGGAGTCAAAAAGGGCGATCATTTCAATTCTGTGAACCAGTGGGGTTCCACTGTGGGATTTATTGTTTCCTGAGTGTCAGCTGTAATCGCAGGCAGCCTCCCCTCTTCAGGTGGCACCTGGAAACCCAAGTCTTCTCTTCTTATGGGTTCAGATACAGCTGCATTTGTGGAATTTCTATAAAAGTCCTGGCAGTGGAAGGAACATTCCAAACAGAAAATCAAAGTACTGTTCAGAGTAGAAAGGAAAATGGATATCAGCTGGGTAAATGTATTTTTCCACTAAAGATATGCTGTGGGGATTGTGAGACGGTGTTTTAAAGTGTCTGATACATATATAAGCAAGCCCTCAATTAATGAGTCACTATAACAATATCAGTGTCCTCATGTAGTTATTTACTCCATGAAAACATATTGCACACTGTGAGTACCGAGTCAGAGGTGGGCACCATTACCTTCTTTGGGGTTCGTCAGATATAAATTGCTCAATTCAGAGCACTTGAGGAGGAGGAGAGCTCATTTCCCAGGCCCCAAGGGAGGCTGTGCTTTCTGTCTGGGAGGCCAGTTTAGAAGAAAGGTCTTCCTGCGATTCTCAGTATATCCACTTGGTGGCAGCCTCATCCCACTCTGTGCCCTCCCCAGCCAGGTCCCACCCAGCCAGGAGCCTGCCTCTGAGTTTCCCAGGGAGCCTCACAGTCCCCTATCTCCTCTTCCCACCTCTTGCCTACCTGAAACTCTGCTTTATGCTGTGGCTGGGGGAGTTCACATGTACATAGATGTGTACAACAGACCTCAGTGTTGTCTTCAGCTTTGCAGCAAGGTTTTGGCAAGTCCAGGGCATCTATAGCAGAAGTTCGTAGAACTGGTGTCTTAGTTACTTTCTTGCTGTTGAGTCACAATACCTGACACCCACAAGTGAAAGGAGAAAAAGGTGATTTTGGCTCAGAGTTCGTAGAGGTTTCAGTCCATTGTTGGCTGGCTCCAATTCAGGGCGGCACAGGAGAGGAGAAACAGCCCATGACATGCCTGTGGAGAGCAGACAAGAGCTCAAGGGCGGGAAGAGGGGAGAGAGACTCTTCCAGGCCACAACCTCAGTGGCCTCCAACTGCACTTCTCCTCCCAAATCACACTTAGCTATGAACTCATCAGTACTCTAAGCCCCTGATAAGTATCACACATACCTATGAGCCAATCACCCAGCAAAAGCCTTACCTGGGAGCGCATGAGGCTTTGGGGACATCTAGATATAAACCATAGCACCTGGCAAGAAGCTAGGCATGTATTCGGCAGACAGCCAGTCAGGAGACTCCAGTGGACCTTCGTCATGTTCTGCCTGCAGAGCACTTGCTGAGCACACTTGCTCTCTCGCTTGTGGTCGGTTGTAGCTGGAAGATCAAGTCCTTGAACCAGAAGTGGCATTGCTGGGGATCATACACAGTTGGACAGCACCGTTATGGCCATTGTTTTCAGAAGCATGGCCCTTAGCTTTGTTCACCAGGCCTCCCCCAGTTCCATGAGCTGCCTAATAGCCTGTTAATAAACTCCTTGTTTCTTTCAATCAGCCAGAATCTATTTCAGTTGCTTACGGCTTAGAATTGTGACTACTACAAATACTAATGCTGATGTGTCTCCCGCTAAAGTACAAGGCTTTAAACAATTCTGAGATAGGAACCCTAGCTTTGCAGATGAGGCAAACATATTCAGCAAGATAAACTATTTTGCCCACGATCACACAGCGAGGACAAACCAGAGCCAAGATTCCAATGCAGGGTAAGTTGCTTTCTGAAGTCCGAGATCATTTAGATGTTCTAATTTCTGAGCTCCGTTAGGGTGGGGGCATTGTCATATACTCATCACTGTGGCCCCATCACATAGCACAGTGGTGGCATGTGGCAGGTGCTCCATGAATATGTTGCCTTCAGTGAATTAATGAGCAAGTGAAAATGCCATGTTCTTTTTTTCTTGCAAAGTGCTGAGCTCTGGGATTCTGCAGAAGCAAGATGGATAGAAGAACAGGCAGGACTTTTCTTTGGAAAATCTTACTTCTGTCTTCAGGGCTTCTCCTCCTCTTCAGGACCCCATGTCCTGCTTCTCCAGCTCCTCTGCGGCCTGACCTTCACGAACTGCAATCTGGAACTTAGTTGGTTGCCTGCCTTTGGAAGGCATACTTGAACAATAGCTCTGATCACGCTGGCAATCGGCTTCCCAGTGTTCAGTGCTGTGGGCTGCAATGGGTGCTTGAGGTTGTTGCTATCAAAGGAGCGTAGAATTGGATAAGATGGGCTGGTCTCCCGTCTCCGAGCTTCCATTGCGGCCACCCAGCTCTGCATGAAGACACTGACTGTCCTCCTTTAGGGTATGGTAACTGACAGAACAATCTTCCTCTGGTGTGTACGAAGCAGTTTCCGTGTGGTGCTGACTGTACGCTAAATCCACTTCCTTTTCTCAGCGACAGCCCTTCTGACCCATGAAGACAGTCGTGTGGAATCTACTTCCTGCCCTGCCCCCGCCTACCAGTCCCAGGGCCTCTTCAAAAAGCCAAGCACGCCCACAGTTCAGACACAGCCTTGAGTTCCTTCATTCTCCGGTGGCTCTGCCCAGGACAGACACCACCAGCCAGTGCTTCTCCCAGGGTGTGACTTGCAATCTAAAACCTTAGCACAGGTGTGGTCTGACCAGGACAGAGAAGAAGGGTGGCTTGCACGTTCCTTGCTGTGTATACCTTATGACGACATTCAAATCCCAGGTCTGCTTCTTTGTTGCTGTGTGATCTTGGGCAGTTTACCAAACCTCTCTGTGCCCTAGTTCCTTCATCTATAAAAAGGGATTAATAATAGTGTCTACCACATAGAACTGTTCTAAGGACAAAATGAGTAAATGTTTGTAAAGTGTTTACAACAGTCCCAGTCATAGCACTGTAGAAATATCACATAAAAATCAAGCTGTCAGTGTCAATATGTCAAGTATTTTTGAATGTCTACACTGAATTGCCTCTCATTTTGCACTTAGAACCAATTTAAATTCTGTAGCCCTTTTTTTCTATTCAAAATACATTCTTCTGCTGAGCCCCAGCCCTGTCAATATGTGCGTCTGTGGCTGGATACTCAGGGGGTTACATCTGTCCCTATGATGTGACATAATTTCAGCTGTTTGCTTCTTCAGCAGCCAAGCTGGGCGTCCTTGGGATGGCGGCTCTACCTTCTATGTATATGTGGGGGTGTGTTGAGTCTTGGGGAGTGTGGTGCTTTCATCCAGCCTCCGGGTTGTGTCTGCAGCCCTTTCTGCTATTTCTTGTGGAGTCGCAGAGCTTCAGGGAGACAGTGCTGGGAGCTGAAGCTAGGCGCCTGGAGACTGAGATGTTCCCCGCCATGTGTCTGCCAGTGTTTGTCCACCTGTGATCAAGGGCCACCTGCAGTAGGATCCCACATCTGGGACTCGCTGTAGCAGGTCTCGGGGGCTGGGTCAGGGATGCCTGGTTTCCACAAACAGCTCAGGTGGTGTGGGGTTGTGGACCGTGGAGGAGTATGGTAAAGGGTGCCTGGGGAGGAGAGCCCACGTGGTACATTGGCCTCCAACTGAACACAAGAGACCCTGTTTTATCTCTCTTTCTTCCACTCAAGGACCCACTCTCTTTCCTCCTTCAGCACAAGGACACAGAGTATGGCAGGCCTTGCAGCTATTTCCCAAGGCTCCGCTCCGACTCCCTTGGAAAGATGAATCAGCCAAGAGATCTCCCCAGCTTTGTCCCTCCCTAGTGCTGTCACCTTCCCAAGAGGCTCTGTATCACCATCATCACAGGAGGCAGTCTAGACAGACAGACCCTCAGGCATTATCTTGCTCTCAGCTGCAGTTGACACCAAACCCCTGGGTCTGGCTACTCAGGGAGGGGAAAGAGCACAGTACTGTCCCTGGTTACCAACACCTCCACCGGCGTCCAGCAGTCCCTTCCAGGTCACACCCTGCCTCCTCTTTGCTCTTTCCCACTTCACTGAGAGAGAAGCCTCCAAGGAAGGAGTTCCCCAGGCTTTTCTTGGTAAGCCTTGTCCCTCTAATAGTCATGGCTTTGAGGCAGACACAGGTAGACCTGGGAGTGATGCTCCTGCCTTTCAGTTCCCTTCCTCGAAATCTTCCCAGCTCTGTCATGACAGGGGTCCATTTTACTGGCTGGACACTGTCACCAGCCTGAGGGAGGGAGAGGTGTGTTGCAGCAGGCAGTGTGAAATCCCTCTCCAGCCATGTGTGAGCCCTGTAACTGGACCCCTGCCTGGGATGTGGACTTCCTCCAAGGTTCTGGGCAGTGGGCACTGCTGTGTGACTCTAGCTCCAAGACATCTCCTCTGGCCATGGGTAGAGCCTGTGTGCCTGAGAACTTGCACACACACACACACACGCGTACACACACACACACACACACAGCTGGGTGTGCCTGAGAACTTGCGCGTGCACACACACACACACACACAGCTGGGAAGGTAGCTGGGGCTGGTGTGCATATGTATTATCACTTTCTCTCCATATCCATGTCTGTGGTTTTTCATGAAGCTGATAAATGTCAAATCCTTGCTTTGTGGTAGGTGCTGGGGTAAAATGTTGGATTAGACGGGCACAGACCTTGACCTGAAAGAGGTGAGAGTTCAATGGGAAGGACAAATATTGAATGAGAGAATAAAAAAGCATGGGGTCTTTGGATACAACCAAA